TGCTGGCTGGGGAATTCTGGGAGTTGAAGTCCACTCGTCTTAAAGTGGCCAAGTTTGGACAACACTGACTTAAAGTGTCAGACAACCGCCCTCCTCCTATTCTTGGTGGACCGTTCCTCTTCTGTTGTTGTGAGGAAGCAACAGCCAAAGTGTTATTCCTGCCTATTATTTCCTGCAAGCTTTGACAGCAATATTTGATCTTTCACCTGACCAGCACAAAGAGCCAATTCTACCTTCCTTGATGCTTTTGTTATTTGATGCTTCAATATTTACTAAAGGTTCCAAACATTTTCTGTATCTGTATCCGGTATCCTGTTTTTAAAGGTGAAACTTGACATCTGCCTAGTATCTAATATGTCTAAGACTCTCCATTCATTTAGAAAGAAATTATATGTGATCTAAACATGTCCGCTTAAGGCATCAGAAGGACAGAATAACCTTTAGAGAGGGAAGAAATAATGCTTCTATATAAATCAACAATATACTGTGTCCACAATTTCATTATACTTTAGAGCAGTGTTTCTGGCTGGGGAATTCTGGGAGTTGAAATCCACGCATCTCCCAATGGCCAAGGTTGAGAAACACTGCTTTAGAGTTTAGCGTCCATTGAGAATGTTTGCCGCAAAACAGGAAATGCTCTTGGATCAAAGTATTTCCACCATTACTATTTTGGCATGGAAATAGTATTAATCTAGTATTAATCTTGGGGTGGGAACTGCCATGTCCAAGAAGAACTGAAAATAAAGGAAAGCGATAACACTGCTTTTAGAATACTCTTCTTTTAGGAAACAAGAGGGTAGAATTTTTGAGCTCAGAAGCAAATTGCCGAGAAAAATACAACTGAAGCTGCGGTCCCAGTAGTCAGTCTCTGTTCTTTTCTTGTAGATGTACGAGGAAACTTTGACATGAAAAATTCCCCCGTTTTGCATATTGTGGGTCCCATAAACTTCCTTGTTAATTCGTTACTCTTCTGCCAAGTGAAAAGTAAAGCTATTACGAGTGGATTTTCTGTCCCGTAGCATTGGATTCTTGTATCATTAAGGCAGTATTCCTGCAGGAAAGCAATGGAGATGAATATTCATGATAGACATGTGCAGGATTGTGATTCAGAGGGAAGCCAACAATTCTCAGGGAAATAATTTTCCAAAAGGCCAGCACCTCAGCCTATTAAATAAATAGGCACACCTGCAGTGTGTTTCCATTATACTTCTGTGAATGATAAATGGGTACATCATCATGTACCCTGTTTTTCAAAATCATGGCAGTTGATGCATAAAATCATTGTTTGTTGTAGACTGGATTTTCTTTTACTTCTATCGGTATGTCAATCATAGTAGACTATTTCCCATCAAGATCCGGTTCTGTGTCTTTGCCTACCCAATAAATCTTTCAAATGTAATTTATGGAGCTGCAATGGCAGCCCTAGATAATTATACAAGCTGGAAAAACAGCTTTTATAGATCACTTACAAACATCCACTAGGCAGTATTTGTACACTGGGATTTTTTTTTTTTTTGCCTTTTGTTAATTTACTGCATAATACCTAAATATATTTATATAAACGTATCTGGGGAGATGGACTGATTTTGCTTTCTTACCAGCAGAGGTACTGATGTAGCAAATTGAATTTATAGCCAATGTAAAGAAGTAGAAGTTTTGCTTATCTTTTCCACTGATAAAATGAAACAAAAATTCAGTCTATAAATATGGTGGACAAACCCAACAAAGATTGTTATCATTATCACATCTTTTGGTACACTCCCCACCTTTGCAGCCAAAGGACAAAAATCCAGTACTGAGTGGTTTTGTTAGCCCTTTGAAATAGGCCAGGTCAAGAAACAGGCATGGCAGGGATTCCAGGAATGCTCGTTTTTTTTAATTGTTTATGTGCCATCAAGTTATTGTCAACTTAGCAACCAAATAAACAATCCATGACGATCTCTCCTCACCTGGTCTTTCAGGTCTTCCAGTGGTGCACCCATTGCCGCTGTAACTGAGTCCATCCTGCTTGCTGCTGGTCGTCCTCTTCTTCTCTTTCCTTCTATCTTTCCCAGCATTAGAGCCTTCTCCAGAGAGCTGGGTCTTCGTGTAAGGTGTCCAAAGGAGGATAATTGCTCTCTGGTGTAGGACAATAGAATAAGAGCATCTTGAAAGCCTGCTTTCTCCCCATCATACACTAAACAAAATCAAGGAGGGTTTATTTTGAGTTTTTTTTCCCCTCACACTTCCCTCTTTCTCAGCACTGTGTAATCTGCTGTGGGTCTTCCAGGCTGTGTGGCCGTGTTCTGGAAGTTTTGTTTCCTAATGTTTCACCAGCATCCGTGACCGGCATCTTCAGAGGACAGGAGCACAGACAGGAGCAGTTCCCTCTGTGTCCAGGATGATGTGACCCTTTTGTGGGTATTTATAGAGATCTGAAGGGGGGGGATTGGGGGCGTGGGGTGGGGGG